TTCAACAAATACTAATATATGTCTTAACACTTAAAAACATTAATATCAAAAGAAAAAGGTTAGAACTTAGGTCGGTCATTCAATCATCATCCTCAACATCAATGGCAAGCAAACTATCATCTTCTTCTCCATCAGTTGATTTGTATCCCTCAACATCTTCCTCCTCTGTGTCATCTGAGCCCGCTTCCTCTTCATCTATTAATTGAAGTGGAGTTAATGTTGATGATTTAGCTATCCTCGGTTGTGCCTTTGAGCGTGAACTTGTTGCTCTACTTGCATGGCTACTTTCTTCTACTCCAGAAGCTCTAGCAACAGTGGCCCACGTCAAGCCATCATCATCATCAAACACAGGCTCATTATCTTCATCTGATTCTCCATCCATCCTTCCAAGCAACCACTCATTGCTTTCATCAATATTTTGCAAAGATATGGGATCAAGGGTGTTGCGCATGTCATACCTAAATCTCAATGTTCTACTATATTTGACAAACACTAAATCATTGAGACATTGTTGTTCCAATCTATTTCTTTTCTTGCTATGAAGCTGCAAGTATTAAAAGGATATTAAATTCTATATAATGAGAAAAAAAAATATTTGAATTGAACAAAAAATTAGTTAGAATGTTAAATACTCACATGTTCAAATACACTCCAATTTCGTTCACAACCCGATGAACTACATGTTAGGCTAAGGACTTTTATGGCAAAAGTTTGCAAGTTTGGAGTTTAGAACCATATGATGCCCACCAATCAGCTGCGATAATCACTAGTTAGAAATAATTGTTACCAAGTATTGAGTTTTACTAAAAGTATTACTAAAAATAAACTCTATGAGTCTATAATATATTACCTGGTGCCCTTGTATTTCTTTGCCTAATCGCAACAGACTTGCCAAAAAGACTCTTAGCCTTCATATAAATACTCATCTCATTAGTGATCAAATCTTCAACAGTGACATCTGGGACCAACCTTTGCATGCATTCATAAAACCCATTCATCACTTCATGATCTTTTTGCACCTCTAACGCTTTTGGGTAAAAGAATTCTGGGTTAAGAAAGTGCGCAGCTGCATGTAAAGGCCGATGCAATTGGACATCCCATTTTTTGTCGATGATTTCGAAGATTTCATTATACTTCTCTTCTTTATGATCAAATGAACTTGCAATGCATTCTTTTTCCCTATCCATTGCCTCATAAATGTATCCCATGGGAGGTTTCTTCTCGTTATCAACCAATCTAAGCACTTTGACGAGAGGACCTAAGACCTTAAGGGCAAATACAACAGTATTCCAAAATAAAGGCATCAACAAAGTTTGTGCCATTCTTTTACCTTGTGTCTCCTTTGCCCATTTGCTTGAGGTCCAGTCTTCAGAGGTGACCATCTTTCTCAAATTGTTTTTTTGTTGATGCATCCTAGACAAAGTCAGAAAGGCGGTTGCAAATCTAGTTTTTGCAGGCTTGATCAAATTCTTCAAATTTGTATAGCGCCTCATCATGTTTAGCAATGCAGATCGGTTGTAAATGTAGCCATGTACTGCAATACCCCTTTCAAATGTCTTTTTCAGTCTAGGTATCTTGAAAATGTCTTCTAACATCAAGTCCAAGCAATGAGCAGCACATGGTGTCCAATACAAGTGTTAATACTTGGCTTCCAAAAACCTCTCTATAATGTAACAATAACGAAGAATTATTATTTTCAAGTTTTTAAATTTTAAATACAAAACAAATTATGAGTAAACAATTTTGATGTAAGGAAATATTCTTACCCGCCAACACATTAGCTGCAGCACTATCAGTGATAACTTGCACCACATTCTCTTTTCCAACTTTCTCTACAAACTTGTCTGGTAATTCAAATAGCTTTTGCCCATCCTTTGAATAGCTAGAAGCATCAACCGACTCAACAAACATGGTTCCTCTTGGACAATTAACTAAAAAGTTAATCAATGTCATTCCTCTCTTATCAGTCCAGCCATCAGCCATTATGGAACACCCGTATTTTGCACAATCCTCGTTATGATTCTTCATCAAATCTTCAGTATGTTTCACTTCTTTTTTGAGTTGGGTAACCCGCACTTCATGGTAAGTTGGTGGCTTCATACCAGGACCATATTGCTCAATGGCTTCAATCATTGGTCCAAAACTCTCATAATTTACTACATTAAAAGTGATAGCAGCATTATACATCCACCTTGTAAATCTTTGCACTGCCCAAGCTCTCATTTCTTTTTTGTAAGGGTCATTTGCATCAATTTTGGTTTTCTTCCCTTTTGCTTGTTCTCTTCGATTTTTCACCACTGATTCAGGATTGGGTGTGAAATAAACATCCATAGGCCGTTTTCTGTTTGGCATTTTTTATTTGGATTTGGATGAACCTTGGCTGCTACTTGTCAACTTAAGGCGTTGATTGACATTGATCTCAACAACATCATCATCTTCATCTTCATCTTCATCTTCGTCTTCCATGTCCATGTCATTGAAATTAGGCAACATGTTCATTTCTTTTTTGTGTCTTCTTTTTTGACATGAACTCTTTAATCTCTTCTCTTACATGAGCTGGACACTTCGAGCAAACAGTGACATTTCTATAACCTCCCGCGAGCTGTTGTTTCACCTGATAAACACCTCCATTTGATACTTTACCACAAAAATTACACTCAAACTTGTTTAAATTATTCTCCTCTACCAAATGAGCATATTGCCACGCTGGATCTTTTATTTTACTTTCCGATGTCATTTTCTACAATCTACACAACAAATTTAATAAATAAATACAGAATCAGAGACTCAAACCAGTAGCACCTAACAGAATTTATTTTTTTCCCCTAACAGATAAATACAGAATTTATAAAATACAGAATTTAATAAATACATATAAATACAGAATTTATTAAATACAGATAAATACAGAATTTAATAAATACAGATAAATACAGAATTTATTTTTTTCCCTAACAAATAAGGGAAAAAAAAGTCCAGTAGCATTGTATTAATTAATTATTTGTGAATAATTAATTATTTATAATTTTTTTGTATTTGTATTTATTTTTTTTGTATTTTTTTGTATTTATATTTATTTATTTTGTATTTGTATTTATTTATTTATTTATTTCCTAACAGTGACTCAAGCATAATTGAAAAAAATAAAAAAATAAAAAAATAAAACAGAGTCGAACAAAGTCAAATCAAATCGAAGAAGAAGAAGAAGTCGAAGTCATAAGAAGAAGAAGAAGAAGAAGAAGAAGGGGGGAAAAGAGTGAGAGTGAGATCAGAAGACTAGAAGAGGTCGAAGCAAAAAAAAAAAAAAAACAGCCCAGTCGAAGACTAGACGACCAGAAGACCAGAAGATGAGGAGAAGAAGAAGAAGATGGCGAGGCAAAGCAAAGCATACCTGTGCGAAGTCGAAGTTGAAGTCGTTGCGAAGTCGAAGTCGAATCGAGCAAGCCCAGTCGAAGTCGAAGTTGAAGTCGAAGTCGAAGGCGAGGCGAGGCGAGAGAGGTAAAACGACATAGATTAGGGTTCATTTCAGTCATATTTGGTCATATTGTACATGAGTTGTTATCCTCTGTGGCTAACAGCCATTCGAACACACACCCCGTAGCCGTTAGATCAGATCTAGCTACTAATAAATCAAGCGCGCCTAGTCATGCACCTTGCGCCTCTGTCGCTTGGCTCAAGTCGTGGCTAAGGCGCGAGCCTACCTCAAGTCGCCTCGCCTGGGACCTGCACAGGCACAAACAGTGCGCCTTGCCTCGCCTGGCGCCTATGCGCGCTTTTCACAACACTGGTGCAAAGGTATACAAGTTATGTGTTATATCCCTAAAAGATGAAACTTTGTATGTCGATCTGATTCCATTCCGCATTAGTAGTTTCGACATAATCTTAGGAATAGATTGGCATGCTGCCAACTAAGGGTGAGCAGCGGATATACCGATCCGCTAAAACCGACCGAACCGAACTGATCCGCCGCATTTTGGACGGATGCGTGATGACGAGCGGATGGTTGCGGATTGATTTTCTCCAATCTGCCAATTTGGCAGACAGATGGCGAATTTAAGATTTTTTTGGCCGCAACCGAACCGCCAAACCGCCAAATCGCAAGCACCCCTAGTAATTTATAAGACTTTGTAGTTTCAATTTGTTTAAATATTAAATATTATGTTTGTGTTTTCAATTGAAAAAGAGTTTAAATATTCTGTTGAAAAAAAGTTTTTAACTTGAATATATTTTTTGAATTGAAAAAAATAAACGTATTATTTATCTATATTTTTTGGTTTTTAAATCTAGCTCTAAAAATAATAAATAGAAAATATGATATTTGCTGGTTAGTTTTTGTTTTCAAAAACATATGTAGATATAACAATGCAGAGACAAACAATCTCTACTACTGCTCTGTTTATGGTTTTGGTGGTTTGAATTGTTATTATATTTTAAGAATCACAGATTGTAATACTTTATGTGGATGAATCATGCTGTGATTGTAATATGTGGATGAGGCATGCAGTGATTGTGATATTCTAAAGTTTCAAACTTTCTTTCTTTGGATAAGGCATACAGTGATTGTAATACTTTTTTAAGTCATTGACTGTAATACTTTCTTTTTCTTTTTTTTTTTTAGGAAGTGGACAAATTGAATTATGTTGAAAATTTATAAAATTTTAAACCGCCAAACCGATTTGCATCCATCCGCTAAATCGCCAATCTGCTCAATCCACATCTGCCGGATTGGCAAACAGATGCGAATTGATTTTCTTCAATCCGCCAATCTGGCAGACAGATGGCGGATTTGAGGTTCCGTGGCCGCAACCGACCCGCGCCCACCCCTACTGCCAACCATGCCTCTATTGACTGTATGACCAAAAATGTCTTTCTTCAGTTACCCGACCAACGCTTTTTTGAGGAAATGGACAAATTGAATTATGTTGAAAATTTATAAAATTTTAAACCGCCAAACCGATTTGCATCCATCCGCTAAATCGCCAATCTGCTCAATCCACATCTGCCGGATTGGCAAACAGATGCGAATTGATTTTCTTCAATCCGCCAATCTGGCAGACAGATGGCGGATTTGAGGTTCCGTGGCCGCAACCGACCCGCGCCCACCCCTACTGCCAACCATGCCTCTATTGACTTTATGACCAAAAATGTTTTTCTTCAGTTACCCGACCAACGCGAGCTGGTCTTCGAAGGAATTGAAGTTTCTATCCCTCCATATTTGATATCCTCCATGATAGCCCAATGACTTTTGAAAAAAGGTTGTAGTGGTTGTATGTGTTATGTGGTCGACACTCAACAAATAGGCCCGACACTCGATTCAATACCTATCGTTCGAGAATTTCCTAACATTTTTCCTGAAGACTTACCTAGTAGTTTAGTTGACTGAGAAATCGAATTCACCATTGAAACTCAACCCAATACACAACCGATCTCTAAAACCCCTTACCGCATGTTAATGACGAAATTGAAGGATCTAAAAACCCAACTCCAGGAACTCTTAGATAAAGACTTCATTCGACCAAGTACCTCACCATGGGGAGCTCTAGTACTGTTCGTAAAGAAAAATGATGGCACGATAAGGTTATGCATCGATTACCGAGAGCTGAACAAAGTCACCATTAAGAATCGATACCCCTTGCCAAGAATCGACGACTTGTTTGACCAACTTCAAGGCGCCCAAGTATTCTTCAAAATTGACTTGCGTTCCGGTTATCATCAATTAAAATTCAAAACGGAAAGCATCGAGAAGACGACATTCAGAACACGTTACGGGCACTACGAGTTTTTTGTCATGCTATTTGGCGTCACAAATGCTCCAGCGGCCTTCATGGACCTCATGAACCGAGTGTTCAAACTATGTCTTGATGAATTCGTCATCGTCTTCATTGACGACATTCTTGTATACTCCAAGTCACCGAAGGATCATGAGCAACACTTACGAACAGTGCTGCAAACACTACGTGATCACAAACTTTATGTCAAGTTGAAGAAATACGAATTCTGGATCAATAGTGTACACTTCCTCGGTCACGTCATTAATAAGGATGACATCTCGATTGACCTCCAAAAAGTTACAGTAATTGTGGATTGGCCACAACCTACTAACGTGTCCGAGATTCGAAACTTCTTGGGTCTATCCGACTATTATCGACGCTTCGTTCAAGATTTCTCAAAGATAGCATCACTCTTAACCCAGCTAACTCAGAAGAACACACCCTTTGAATAGACTAACAAGCAGGAACGTTGCTTCTAAAAGTTGAAAAACAGGCTTGTGACAGCTCCTATACTAGCACTCCTCATGAGAACAGATGGGTTTGCAATTTATAGCAATACCTCATACAATGGTTTGGGTTGCGTTCTTATGCAAAATTGAAAAGTCATTGCTTATGCCTTACGCCAACTAAAGTCTCACAAGAAGAATTACCCAACCCATGATCTAGAATTTGCCGCAGTAATCTTTGCCCTCAAAATATGGCGTCATTATCTCTACGAAGCAACCTGCAAAATTTACACAGATCACAAGAGTCTTAAATATCTATTTACACAGTAAGAACTGAATATGCGACAATGACGATGGCTAAAATTTATGAAGGACTACAATGTAGAGATCCATCACCATCTGGGCAAAACTAGTGTGGTAGCAAATGCGTTGAGTCGAAAGGCTACCAGAAGTTTGGCATGTACCCTCATCCTCCACAAGATCAATGGACTGCTCGCCAACATAATCGTGGAACCCACGTTGATTGAAGAAATTGGAGCATGCCAATGTGAAGATAAACTTTTGAAGAAAAAAGTATGAGGAGCAGAGAAGTACGCCCGATCCTGACTTCACTATAAGCAATGGGATGCTAAAATTTTGAAATCGAATTTGTGTACCCGACATACTAGAGCTCAAGAAGAAGATACTGGTAGAAGCTCACTGCTCAAGGTTTACAGTCCACCCTAGCAATACAAAGATGTACCATGATCTAAAGGAACACTACTTGTGGACAGGGATGAAAAAAGACATAGCAAGCCACGTCTCCAAATACTTGCATTGTCAACGTATTAAAGCAGAACACCAGAGACCCGTAAGAACTCTGCAACCACTCCCTATTCCTGAATGGAAATAGGAGCACATTACGATGGACTTCGTGGTTATCGTAGATCGATTAACAAAGTCGGCACATTTTCTGCCAATCCGAATCGCATACCCCCTTAATAAGTTCGCCACTCTGTACATCAAAGAAATTATTCGATTGCATGGTACTCCAGTTTCAATCGTGTCTGACCAAGATCCTCGGCTTCGTATCTCACTTTTGGAACAAATTGCAAGAAGCTTTGGGAACTACATTGAAATTTAGCACTGTTTACCACCCGCAAACTGATGGACAATCCGAAAGAACAATCCCGACCTTGGAAGACAAGTTACGTGTATGCTTGTTAGACCTCAAAGGTAATTGGGATGAGCACCTACCCTTGGTAGAATTTTCCTATAACAACAGTTACCAAGCAAGCATTGGAAGGGCACCGTACGAAGCACTATATGGAAGGAGATGTCGGTCACCCCTATATTGGACAAAAGTCGGAGATAGGAAACTATTAGGTCCTGAAATCATGCAAATAACAAGTGATAAAATTCAACTCATCCAACAGTGAATTTGCACTGCTCAAACCAGCTAGAAAAGCTATGCGGATAAGCAGAGACGAGATTTGGAATTTCAGGTAGGAGAACAAGTTTTTTTAAAGGTCTCACTAACTAGGGGAGTCATTCGATTTGGAAAACAAGGAAAGTTAAACCCGCGTTACGTTGGACCATTTGAAATACTGGAGAGAATTGGCCCTGTAGCATACCGTCTTGCTCTTCCACCAGAATTATCCAATGTTCACAATGTGTTCCACGTTTCGATGCTTCGACAGTATCTTCAAGATCCAGAGCATACTGTTAACTATGAAAACCTGGATGTTCAAAAAGATCTCTCTTATGAAGAACAACCGGTATAGATTCTTGACCGTCGTAATCAAATTCTCCGAAATAAGACTATACCCCTTGTCAAAGTCTTATGGCGAAATCATCATGTCGAAGAAATTACATGGGAAGCGGAAAGTCAAATACGGGCTCGATATCCACATCTTTTCGAAAACTAAGGTACGACAAGTTTGAGGACAAACTTCCATTTAGAAATAGAGAAATGTCACACCTTAAATATTTAATTAATACCACAACCAATCACATAAAATAATTAATTTTATGATAGTATACGATAACGTGTAATTTAATTTACATGTGGAGTTATTGTGCAATTATTCTATTAATTAGGATTAATGTAAAATGAAGTAGGGTTATTGTAAATAAACTCTCAAGTGTGGAGTGGATAAGCTCCATACACACAACAACAACAACAACAACAACAACAACAACAACAACAACAACAACAAAAATCACAATGATGGCTTATCACCATCCTAATGTATAGGATGATGAATAAGCATATAGCTTAGGTGAGTCACCTACCTAGAGGGACATATGGGAATTAGGCAATTGACACCTGTTGAGTGGTGGCAAAATGTGCCACATGTCAAATAGAGACCACGAATACTCTCCCTGTAAATAGTTCAAGACTCTGTGGCCGAGATCACCTAGCTTCAGAAGAAATATACATACAGGGTTTAACGAGACAATAATAGAAAAGTGAAGGCTAGAGGTTAAGGGTCAATATTTCGATGAGTTATATTATATCTTGAGTTACCATAATATATTTTACGAATGTTTTGAGTTTTCACAATTTATTTTATATAATTATGTTTTATGGTTATGTTAATATTTCAATTACGTGGATTATTTTTCGAAACTCTATTTGCTTAAATTGAAACCCATGGATATGTTTGTTTAAATTTTAGAAATTATTTGACAACGATTTTAGAAACATTATTTTTGAATAAGTACCACTATAGAGGTCCCACGACTTGGAGGCTTAAACAATTACTGGCCCTCTGAATTGTCACTTTAGTGACCCTTTGACAGTCCCATGCCTTGGGGAACTTAAATAACCTTTGGCCCTCTGATTAGTTACACTGTGACCCTCTGTTTGTCATGGATCCATTGACTCTCTGTTCTGTTCTGTACCATACCGTGGTTATAATTATTTTGTCCATATGATTTTTATATTATATGTCAAATGATTTCTGCATTATATACTTTGTATTTTAATATCAAGCTCTATTTAACCAATAATTATCCATGATGAATTTTGTGCCTTTATACTCTTAATATAATATTTCTCACTCTATCATGTGCTTATAGCTGTTAAAACCTTTTCAGGTGAAGAAATTTAAAGAATGATGATTTTACCCCATGGATCAAAACCCAAATGTGGCATGAATGTCTTTTTTTTTTTTCTTTTTTTCTTTTTTTCTTGTAATCATTATTTGACCAATGTTACATTGTTACATAAATAATAATTTTTATGTACACTTCGGATATTTATCTACATCTTTTATTTTATTCTGCTGCATCATTTAATTTAATTACTTGGAATTCATTTGAGAAATTTTAAAATTAGCTAGTTGCAAACCCAGTCCTGGCCACCGGAACGAGTCGTGACAAACATATTGGCATGGGATGCAGTAAAACACATTATTTTAGACTGTTGTGAGGATTAAAATCTGAAGCAAACATATATATTTCTAACCACTGCCAATATAACTGCATAAATATTAAAGAAACACCTTGATGACAAGAGTTGAATCTTTCATTTGAGATAATTAAAAGAAAAAGAAAAAATGCATAAAAGATTACCAAAAGCTTCCCTTGGCAGTGCGGAGTTGCATTAATGAAAACTAGGATCGCCATTTAGGATATATGTTAAAAACTCAATACTTTTGACACCAACTCATGAGAACAAAGGAAACAGTAAGTAAAAAGGGGATTTATTAGGAAATTCTTTTTCAAGTCCTTGTATTCCAGTTAGTCCATAACATATTTTTTGTATTTTAATAAGTCATATTATTTGGACATTTGATCCACCAAATCCTAATTCTTTTATTTAAGAAATTTTATATTATAAATATTTTTTAAACACTTAGCAACTTGGTGATCTAAAACATTTACATTGACAGTATGAATGTTCACATTGACATTAACAGTGTGAATGTTCACATCACGGAACATTCACACTATCAATATGAATATTATTATTAGGAGTATTTTGGTAATTATGTCACCCATAGGATTTAGTGGAACATAAAAAAATAATTTGGACTAAGTAAAATATAAGTAGGTGAAGATGGATTTATGAATAAATGCCCCTAAGTAAAAATGAAGCTAAACAAGGTAGCAAAAAATAGATGAGAAAAAAAAAAAAAGAATGGATTAGAAGGAGAACCTCAAAAGGAAATGCACACCGTGTATTGATATCATCACCATGCACATCCCCATTTTCAAACAAGTTATCACTTCCAGAGAGTTCTTCATAGTTCTCCAAATTCAAGTCAAGATCATCCATGTTGAATCAAGGCCTTTGCTTCCAAAGCAGCATGGCTGCATATTAATAGGGAGAAATCAAATGAAATAAAATACAGCCAAAGCCATTACTTTTTCAAGCATATTTCTGAAAATACATGAGCATATTATCTATGCCAAAATGGGCAACATATCCACAAAACATAAAGAGGTGCACACGCACCATGATATAGCTAATTATTACCTACAATTTACACGTAACTAAAGGTATCAGTCACTATGAATTCCATACATTTAATATTTCCTAAACTAGTAAGCCTCACACTTGCCTTCCATTCAACATACTTAGCACCAGGTTTTAAAGAATACCACCAACCTCTTTCCACTCTATGCAATAGTCCCAAAATCATTTTAGGGCAAGTCTAGTAATTCATTAAAAGTACTTTACAAACAAAGCAGACCACGTGTAAATGCATGCAAAACTATGAGTAATTACTTATAAATGCATTTTTCTGTGACAATTTTTTTAAAATAAAAAATTAGTGACAACAGAAGCAAAAACAGACCCAACATCACTTCCATAGAACCATATGGTATGAAAATCTAACAGCACATAACATATATCTTGTTTTGTGCAATACCAATTAAACAAGGGGAACCGAACCATTCCCCTGCATATCCAAGGCTAGCAATAACATGCTATTGTCATATTGTCCTTTAAGCCATATATGGTCATGATAGGAACCTAAGGCTTTCAAACGAATATATTTATTAGTTTTACATTTTAGAAATCATAAGTCATTTTAGCTTGGTGCATTATCAGATTGAGTAAGCTGGTCAACAATAGCTGGCAGGGGATCCATAGCAGCCACTGAAGAGAATGCCATCCAAACAGCATTCTTCATGTACTTGACGCAGCAAACGGTCATCACCATTTCCATCTGTCACGCCCAGTAAACCGCTTCCCTGCTCACGACTAGGATCATCCACAGAAGGGGATTCTAAAACAAATGACCAGATCTTTGAAAGTTCTTCTACTGAAGGACAGCCAGAATAACAGTTGATAGTCTGCCTCTCGTGTCCTGAAGTTGAAGTACAACTGACATGCCCAATCCAATAACAGTTTGAACAAAAGGAGATCTCCTCTTCAATACACCTTATTATTGCAAGCTGAGAATTACATCTTTCACACACATGAGTCCTCGAATGGCACCTCGAAATAACATTTGTAGAGTGAACATTCCAGTCACGGGAGAAACATAAGCAAGCATTATCAGATTGGCAATACACCATGGATCTTTGATCTCTACAAAGATCACATAATTGGCCCATTTTCAGCAACCAATAAGATTATGTTGGCTGCAACCCAAACCAAAATAAGAGGAGAATCTTATATGAAAACATCCAAAAACTCTTAGCAAAATATAATTCAGCCACATGAAATAAACTTCTTGACACACTAGAACTCCACTAGAAGTTTACAGAACCTACATGGCTACAATGGAAGAGCCAAATTAACATTTGTGGTTCAAAATAGGAAATTATATCCATAAAATGTTTCAGAATTGTCTCTTAAAATCTCCTCCAACATATAAACACAGATACAGGCTCACCTAACATATTCAGTAGAATTATTCACAAAGATTACATGGTCCGGGGTATAAAAAATATAGCAAAGAGCTCATTCCATGAAACCTAATTTAACAAGGAAAATGTTATACAACCAACTTTATGTACATTCCTTTTAACAAACTAATGTGGCCTGCAATAACGAAGTGTTGAATTTTGAAATAAACCCACTAAAATTAAAGGCTAAATTACACCGACCTCCGTTTAGATTTGGAGAAAATATAATAGGCCACATAAGTTTAGCATAATTGCATTGAACTCTCTTAAGATTTTAATTCACATAACATATCCCATTTTCATCAAAAATTCAATAATCGTACTGATGAAAAATGATATTGTTATCTCTTTTACATTGAAATATATATAGATATATATTTTTTACCTTATTCATTTTTATATTTTCACACTATCTGTATTCGTTCCGATCCTTTTTGCCTTAATAAAAAAAAGTCAGTGTAATTTTATCAAAAATATAAAACTTATTGTATTTTTTTCTAACAACCCCGCTAGGTAGCTCGAAAAATTAGAGGCTCGAGTGTCCCAAATTCTCAAAACAACGTCGTTTTGCCTTTTTTTTTTTTTGTTCTTCGTTTCCATAACTCGCAGAAGAAGAAGAAAGAAGAGGAGAGGAGAGGAGAGGAGATGAAAGAGATAGAGCAGAGAGATTCAAACCCAAAAATCAAAATCAAAACCAACACAAATCAAAGCCAAAAATCAAACCCAGAGCGATTCAAATCAAAACCAAAAATCAAACCCACAAATCAAAACCAATTAGAAAGAGAGATACAAAGAGAGAGAGATACACAGAACAGAGAGAGATATATACACAGATCAATACAAATCTATGTATACACACACAGATCTATCTGTGTATAGACAGATCTGGAGGCGGCGCCGGTGATGGCGGTGCCAATGGGTCTCTCTCTGTTCTCCCTCCCTCTTCTCTCTCTTTCTCTTTTCCTCACTCCTTCTGTTTCACAGATAAAAGAGAGGGAAAAAAAATCAAAACGACGTCATTTTGAATTCGAGCCACTCGTGCCTCGAAAATTTCGAGCTCTGAAGCATTTTTCTTTTTCTAAACTTTAGAAGACAATACAATTTATCCAAAACAAAATTATAATAACAAATTAGCTGTTACATCAGTTGTTTGTATGACATTACTCCTAAACAAAATATAAACATATGGAATCTTATTATATTCTAGAAAAGCACTCACAGTAGTAACTCAAAGCACCAACAACCAAAAAGTCCAGCTCGAAAATAAAATAAAGACAATAAATAGAGAACAAATCTCTATAAGAAAAGAAAAGCCCCTCAATTTTTTCATAACCCAGATTTAAAGGAAATGGATCCTATCCTCCATAACCCTTCATATTCTATTTTGTAGGTCTCATCCCTGGCCTATAACGATAGTCAGAACGGTTATGCAAAAAAATCAATTCTTCAGTCGTCACTACTAGACACACACAAATGAATAAAGTACATTTTTATTTTTATTTTTTAAATAGACGACAAATATGAATTTAAACTTAACTCGTTCATATTATAAAACAAAATATGATTTGTTTATATATTCATCAATATCGGATAAAGTAAGTTTTTGCACATAATGTTTCCAACAAAATTAAGTATGAAACATAATGGTATGGAGAGAATGTAAACATAATTTCAGAACATGAAACTTTATGCTTTGGATCATCTACCATGTGAATCATCAAGAAATCAAGACAAAAACTTACCCGAATCCATCGATGAACGGTTAAACGGAAGCGTGATTATCAATAAACCCTTTGTTATTGATTTTGTTATTGCCTTCTAATCTTTTCCCTTTTGGTGCCTTATGTTTCTCCTTGAGAGGATTTAGAAGAAAAATGGCAGTTCTACACCATTGGAAGGAATAGGGACCATAACCTTTTAAGGTTGAAATTGGTTTTCAAAATGAAACGGTGTGGCAGTTTAAGGAAGGAAAACCAACTTAACCAATATGTTTTAATTTCTATTTTTGCCCCTCATAAAAATAGAAATTACTCAACTAGTATCTACACATTAGGTCCATAACACATATACCCTTAAGCCTATTAACTAAATTGAATCACTTAAATTGTAGGCTTCTCATAAATGATAACACCACATTTAAATATATGGTCCCATTGAGACATTATCTAACAATCTCCCACTGGACCACATATGTAACCTGAAAAATGTGCTTAACTTTAGTGAGCTCAGAAATTTGTTATCATGACCTGAGGGTATCCAAACAATCTTGTCCATTAACTATATT